AAAAGCCCGCATTTTGGCGAGCCACCCCCGGGTCCCCCCCCCCCCCCAAATGACGTCTGAGAAACGAGCGCAGAAATTCTATACTGATGACGCGTCATAACCCACATCTGGGTAGTGCTTCTGATTGGTCGTGTCGCGTGGGAAATTTGATTCAGCCAATCAGAAGCACTGCCCAGGTCTGGGTAGTGACGCGTCATCAGTATGGAATTTCTGCGCTCGTTTCTCAGACGTCGTTTGGCGGGGAAACCAGTGGTAGCTTCGCCAAATGTCGGCTGTTTTCTAAGGCAAAAATATTTTGACGTTCCTTCTTCAGGGTCTTACATACAACGTCTTAGCTTAACCTCATCATTGTATGTAAGACCCTGAAGGAAGGCCGCTCCTTCCTAAATATTGGTGAAAAATATATGTATTCCCGACTGTAAAATCAGGCTTCCTTCTTTTTGTTTAATATTTTCACGTATTGCTGATTAGATCCTTTATTAGGACCAAGTCCTTCTTTTTTGTAAGCTGGTCGACCTTTCTTCAAAAATTGAATTATAATGAGGCCTTGGAACTAGGTAGGTGTCCTAAGAGAACCTTGTTCCCAGGGTTCTCTCCTTTCCCCTGGCAATGAGGCTGACGCGCCTTCTTTTCAGCACCAATGACAAACTAAGAAGATGCAGCCAAATAACCACATGCAGCTTTTCTAAATTCGACTACGAATAGTCCCCCCATTTTTCCTCAGGGATAGTAGAGCGAGCAAAACGCGAGCGCCCGTGAAAATCAACCCACGCGAGAAAAGGCGCTGCGTGTCGCGTGTCGCCTTCTCTCGCGTGGGTTGATTTTCACGCGCGCTCCCGTTTTACTCGCTCTGCTATCCCTGAGGAAAAATGGGGGACTACTCGTAGTCTATTCTAAATCGAACGAAGCGACCCGGCGAAGCGATCATTGAAAGCACTTTTGTTCTTGCCAATCAACCGTGGCTCTTCTATCTTTCAAGGGTGACAAGTGAGCTCGTTGAAATCTCTACTGCTCTTAGTACCAGAAATACACTTTTGTATCGTAATAGTAATTTAAGGCAACGATGGCACTGTTCAGGAACGTTCTTAGTCAGTCCAGTCTGGCAAAAGTTAGCCAAAGCGAAGGCAACGGAAGCTCGGAAGATGACAAAGGAAGAATGAAGCATCGATTTTCTGAACCGTGGGAAGATAGCGATCTGATTCTTGTGGTAGAGGATGAGAAGTTTCACGTTCATCGCCTCATAATGAGCATGAACTCACCAGTGTTTAAGGCCATGTTCAAATCACAGTTCAAAGAAGCAACCGCTAACGAGATTCCTTTGCCAGAGAAAAAAGCAAATGAAATATTGGACATCTTAAAGCGTGTTTACTCCAAGCAGTTTATCGAAGAGCCGGTGGAAATCACTGAAGAAAACGTGGAATATCTTCTAAAGCTAAGCGACGAGTACCAGATCAAGCACATCTTTGATGGCTGCATCAATTTCGTTGAAACCCACCCGAAGACAAAACAAAATGTGATGAAACTTCGAAAGATGGCGACGAATTACAAACTAGACCGTGTCCGAGACGAGTGCGACGACTTGCTCAAGAATTTGAAGCTGACGACACTACGTGAAATTGTTGATTTGAAGGGTCTTGATCAAGAAACCTTACAATATTTCCTGGAGCAAAGGATCAAGCGACTAGAAACTGTTTTGGATGACGTATATCCTGAATTTATGGGAATGATAGAGTGTTTGTTTTGGCTGATGAATGAGTGCAATAAAGTTGATCCCTGGTTGTGCGAGCAACATGTTACTGAGGGCTGTTTGAGGCCCAATTTTCAAATTGATAGTGAAGAGATAAGACAATGTCGTAACTGTGGGAATATGTTTCGTTCAATGGTGAATCAGACCAGATCTTACAGGAGGAGGGGAGGATTACATAATTACCATTATGGAAATGAACAAAGTTACCATTTCGACAACTTGCAGAATACCATCAATGAGCTCTCTAAATTAAAACGTGAGGGTTTAACGCTTCTTCCCTCGCACCACCCACCCCGATCATTAAAGAGGTAAAGTGTTGCATCGGAGATCAGTCTCTTTGGTTTCAATTGACCTACAGCGGAAACATAAATGAAATCAAAATTCAAAATTCAAACTCTCAAAGAAACACGACTTTTACTGACTTGCCTACATTTTTAATTAGCATGTGTGTGTGCTAAAAAGATGTGACATATTTGGGAAGGAGGTGTGGACAGTATGGCGTCCTCATGAGCCTATACTGAGTGCTAAACATGATTATATAAAATTTCAAGCTATCTAGACTTAATTAGAAATTCTGCTAATAGGAAAGATTTAGTGAAAATTCGTATAAGTAACCACAAACTCATGATTGAAACTGGAAGATATAATCAAACTTCCCGCAACGATAGATTCTGTCCTATTTGTAACTCTAATATAATTGAAGACGAATTTCATTTTCTATTCCATTGTCCAAAATACTCAATCCCAAGGGAGAAATTCTACAATCAAATCCAACAAAATTTTGTCGACTTTAATCAGCTATCTTACACAGAATTAATAATTAAATTGATGAATTCACAGAATTTTGCCGTAAATTCACATTTGTTGAAATTTGTCTCATTATGTAATGATTTACGTAATAATTTGTTATCAAATCATGCTGATGATACTTGATTGTCTATAGTAATCATTGCATTGCATTATCATTGTTATGATTTGTTTGTTTGTTTGTTTGTTTTTTTTTTATGTTAAAGCTTTTGCAATACTGTAACTACATAATTATAGTCATGCAAATAAAGCTTATGTTGTTGTTGTTGAGTGCTCTTATGAAAATGGCACCCTTACGAGGAATTATATGCTGAATTACTTAGGAAAACTTATCTTGGTTTTGATCATAAGTACTCTACTGAAACTGCGGTAGTTTACCTTTTTGCATTGATTTTATTTTGGAACATATGTATAGGTAAATGATTACAGGAGCTGTGATTATTGACTTGAAAAAAGCTTTCGACTTAGTCGGCCATGACTGTTTGCTTCTTAAGCTAGAACACTACGGAGTCAGAGATGGCAGTCTGAATTGGTTCCGGAACTATCTTACCACACGAAATCATGGAGTGCAATTTGGAAATGACATGTCGTTAACCCGAGCCATCTGTTTTGGCGTCCCCCAGGGTTCCATTTTTGGGCCTCTTGTTTGTTTTATACATTAATGACCTGCCCCAGTGTTTAGAAGACTGTTCTATTAATATGCATGCCGATGATCCTGTAATATATTTTAAAAATCTTTGCACCTCAGAAATAGCTAGAGCAGTCGAGGAAGATTTAAATCGAGTTGTACAACCGATGGAAAGTAGCAGGCTTTTCCTAAATCAGAGTAAAACAAAATCCGTGCTCTTTGGAAGTTGGCAGAACCCTGCCAAATAACCAAATTTTTGTACATAGTCACACGGAAAGACTTTAGAATTGGAAAGAGTACCTAAATTTAGCTATTTAGGTGTTGTTTTAGAAGAGGACCTTTCTTGGAAAGATCACGTCAAGTATGTAAGTAGTAAGGTCAGTAAGGGGCACCGCGGAAATACGTTTTGTGACGTCACAGCACCTGGTCAGCGGCATTTGAGTTCATTCGATCGCTTTCTCGTCCTTCGCTACTACGATACAAACGTTGAGATCGGTTTCATCGTGGAGTTTAACGGGCAGCCGTGGCTTTTCTGAGACTAGCTTTCTTTAATAGATCGTGAACCGAGTTAAAGGACTAGTAAATACAGTTGACGCGAAGTAAGCTTAACTTAGTGTAGCGTTGCGTCGAGTTAGTTTGAATTGCCTTCCGAAAAACGTACCAGAAGCTACCATGGAAAGCCAGAAAAGAAGAAGATTTTGAACACTGACAAGGTTTCAAAAAGATTTCCTGAAAAGTAAATAAATAACGCATTGAAATACTTATCGCTTATACATGAACCAGAATTAGGGTTTTCATGACAGATTTCCTTCATTCAGTACAGCATCAAACAAATCAGATCACATTTACATATTTAGAAAAAAGATATGACATATGTGGAACGAACTGGCTTTTTTGTGGAACGATCTTCCTATTGATTGGAGTGATCTGACCATGGAACGAAATGACCGTAAAGTGGTCAAGAAAACTTACCTCCGTGTGATCTTGTTTATGTTTTTTTGTCACAATCTTTTCGGTTTCGGTTAACATCTTTCCCGCTTCAATTCGGCACTTATTACACCAACGGGTAATTCGGCAACAAAGCACCAGATTCTTTCTAGAGTTTGAAATAACTTGCACAGGATGGTACGAACGTGCAACTTCGCAGTGTGTCAACAAGTTGATGGGCAGGAAAACCTGCGGTCGTCTTGTCCTTGTATCAAATCGAAGTGGCGCTGGTAAACAATTTCAAACGGCTCCAGCTCACCAGCTTTGCATACTTGAAGGTTGGTATGCCTTAGGGGACCGCTACAGCCGTCAGAAAGGTGCCTGTTTTTGGCCTTTGCACACAACATCGGCGCCACAGCGATCATCATGTCACGAAGACTATCGCGCCGCGAAACTTTCCAAAAATTCAATTGCTGTTCAAGCACAGTTTGTCTTTGGCACAATATATAATGTGTGGAAAGGGAGAGGGAAACGAGAGGCGAAATTTAAAGATTAAGTTTACAGTTTTTGCTCTAAATTTTGGGGTTTTTCATCGCCTACCGGGCTTACGTTGAAAACCAATTTAAAGGAAAAGTTGCCGGTGTTTTGATATTTTAAAAGGAGATGACGCTGACCAGCAAAATACTGTATCGCGCCTTCAAAACCGTATTTCTACGGTTCCTCAGTAAGAGGTTATGGCTTTTGTCTCGTATACGATCATTCCTCACGTTGGAAGCCTCTAAAAAAAGGTATACACTTCACTCTTGCAGCCATTATTTGACTATGCTGATAATGCATCGGGGAAAATCTCAGACGGGTGTTGCAAAGAGCTACAGCGACTACAGAACCGCGCAGCGCGAATTATATAACGGAAGAACTTTCCGTGTGCTTAACTGGTTAAATCTAGCTTCCAGAAGGAAAATGCACAGATGTACTCTAGTTTTTAAGTGCTTAAATAAATCAATCTGGTGCCCAAGTATCTTACTCAATAGTTTTACTAGGAAGCGGATTTGAATGATCATGCAGCTAGGAGAAGGAACGACCTGCACCTACCAAAGCCAAAGAGTAACATGGGCAAAAGAACTTTTAAGTACACAGGGACTATTTATTTCAATTCTTTACTCAATTGTGTTAAAAGTGCCACGTCCGTCAAATAGTTTTTAAAATATGATGATTAAGTATTTTACTTCAACTTTTATGTTTTTTATCTCTTAGCACACTTTTTTGTACTGACTTTGTTTGATTTTTATTCTAGAAATACTTTATAATTTGTGAACCAGAAATGTCTACCCAGAACAATAGAAATGGAGCTAATCTCAGGTTGCGGACACTCAAGGAAATTTTTACTAAAAACTGCCATAATTTAGCCTGTTCCAGGCGTTCAGATAGTGGGGAGTGGTGCGAAGTAAAAAGGAGCGCGAAACTCTCTCCCCAGTTCCCCTCTACTTTTCATCGCCTTCTTTACTTCGCACCGCTCTCCACTATCTGAACTCTTGGAACAGGCTTGCCTAGTCCCTAGGCCTCATTATTATGCGCGGCCGATGCGTTTCGGGTCACGTGGTCCGAGAAGGATACGTCACCGAAATGCATTGACCGAGAGGGCCTGAAAAGACACCGTACAGGGACTAGGCAAGAAACAGGCTAGCCCTAATTTGATAGATTTGATTTTGTCGCAAATTTGACATGACCTTTGTATAGTATTCATCACTTAATTAGCGATATGATACGCCAGGCGCCACGCCTAGTATTCATTGTTCTGTTTTCTGGATATCTTTGATTCTAACCGTTACTTTTGGCAGTTGCCTGATGATCGCTTCGCAAGAAGCATGAAACTCTGAGTAGCAATAAACGTTCAAGGCTTTATCCAGTTCCATCAGTCTACGGACTAGTTGATTTTAATCATGTACCCACCTTAGAAATTTTAAAATCGTATACATCTTTATTTTTCATGGCCCCTATGGATACCAGCCTGGTTGCTGAATGGGCTACCCTAGCTAAATAAAGTTACTTACAGTTAAATAAGAGACAAATGTTTACTTGGTTTGGTGATGAAGTTGTGTTTATAACATCAATGTTTACTATTTACGGATGTTACATTCGATTTCAATTCACGCTCTTTACTGTTTTGTACTACTTTCATGACCCCCCAGGCAACGCTTCCTTATATGAAAATGCTTCCCCCGCAAAAAAATCCAATCAAGATTTTGAAAATGACTCCCAGCAAAATGGCGGGCCCCATATCAAAGATAATAAAGGACCAGCCCCTTACAGAGGCGCCTTTTCACTAGTCATGATCAGCCGACCCACTACGATGGAATCAGTGTTTGGGTTTCAATTTAGAAATTTGTTTTTATACACGACCCTAAGCGACCAATCCCCCTATTTAGACTTGGCAGTGGGCTCAAGGATTGTTCAATGCTACGGTTTTCTGTAATTTAGTCTCATTTTCACTGTTCAAAGTCTGACGCTTAGCCAAACTTTGGTTGATTTTCTGCAGAGGATTGCAATTTTTTTAGTTGGGAAACTACGGACTTCTGAGCGAACATCTTCGACGAAATGAAAATCGTTATTTTGAGAGAGTAATTACCCATTTTATACATTCCTGCCCATGCTTTTACTAAGGAAAGAATATGAATCTAGACTAGGCTGTTCACAGTCCCCTACCTTTTTCATAAGGAAGTAGAGATCGAAGACTTTGCGTTTGGTTACTTGCGGCCATTTTTGAATTCATATGTACCAAGATTTGCGTTATGGGCGCAAAGGCTCCTATCTCGACCGCCTTACGGAAAAATAGGAGACTGTGAACAGTCTACATCTAGGCCTGAGATCAGAGCGGATGAAGGTTTTTTGCGCCCTAAAGCTA